GAGAGAGGGACGGTGGGTTGGGTGTGGGATACTTTTTTTCTTTTTTCTTTATTTTTTAATTAGAATAGTATTAAAATAATTATAAAAAATACAATAAAGAAATTAAAAAGGGCATAATCGTCTTTTTAAATTTTTTTAGACCAAAATCATGGAAATGTTTTGATTTTGGACCTTCCATGCAAGGGAGAAAGCTTTTAGATCCCATCCAAAAAATTTTGAATACCATAGGGATTAAATTTACAGTTTTGTCTAAATAATAAGATATGTTAAAAATGTATTAAGTTTTTACTCTCCTAATTTATAACTTCGTAACAATCACATTTAGATTAAATTATATTAACTCAAAATTATTGGTATCAATTATATAAATATTTCGATAGTAGATGGCATATATTTCGATGATTGAAATTTATTACTTATTGTAGCATGTATTCTTAAATTTGGTTTAAAAAATAAACACAAGTTTTTGCCGATTCTCTATTGGGCCTCAGAAAGAGTTCGTACAGTCGTACTAGGTCCTTTTCCATTGTTTAATGTTTATTGAATTTTCTCTGTAAGGCTTCGGCCCAAAAAAAAAAAAAAAAAAGTCTATTTTCGTTTGAAGTAAAAGTCTTGGTAGATTACTACTCGAGCGAGCCTGACGCGATCAATATAATCTATCGATCAAAATGTGCAACACAAAATTTTTGACATTTTACTAAGTGATCAATTAAAGAGTATAGCTAAATAATACGAATTATAGTAATACATCATTGTTATTTTATAATATATCACTATTATCAAGTAATAGTTACAAATAGGTAAATTAAAGAGTAAGTCATGGTTGTGTATTTGTTGGAAAGCTCGAGACAAAAATAATAATAATAATAATAATAATCCATGGTGTATTATTAATAAGAGCATCGATAATGAATTTTTGGGAGTTTTTTCAAGAATTTTTTCATCCCACGAAAACACCTTAAATTTTTGAAAAAATAATAATAATAATACTGCGCGAGGAGCTTTTCATGGAGCTTCAAGCTCTTCGTATGAGTTTTTTCAATGTTTGGCGAGCTTATACGTTTTCAATCAATTGTATACAAGATGTTTAAGAAAAAGAAAACTGATACAAGATATCCTAAGATCTAATAAAAAATTTATATTAAACCTTAAGACTAGTGGCTACGGTCATAAATGTTTGGAGGAGCCTACGTGGTAATGCCTCAACGGCGTTTAGGGCCATGGAACATCATTCCCGCTTCTCGTTTAATGGTAATGTAGCTCAACAGGAGAAGCAACCAACCATATATTATTTTTTTACCGTTGAAAAGCCAAAAATTTTAAAAGAAATTAATTAATATTGTTGTATCTATAAATACATACTAACTTACCCAATTTTATTCACAATATTCTTTTCTTTTTCTATATTTTATACAATTTCAATACTACTTCAAAAAAATATGGATCCATTCAACACGTCATCCGATGATGATGATATGTCCATCACTATGATTTACGAGTATCATACTAATGAGCTACCAGAACCAGATCTAACTCTTCTACTAACAAGACGTGTGATATTAAACAAAAATTACAATGAATGACATAAACATCAACATCGTGATTATTTTGCGGATGACTGTGTCTACCAGTCAAAAGATTTCAAAAGAAGCTTTCATTTAAGTAATAATGTGTTTGTACAGATAGCCAACACCTTGGAAAGCATGTATCTTTTCTTTAATTTTTATACATATTAATTATATCTTTATATAAAATTAATACATATTTTTACTTATTAAATATATATTAGGTATCGTTTTTTTTTTCCAATTAAGATATGATGTTCGGGGTAGGCAGGGATTCACATAGTTGTATAAATGTGTTGCGGCAATTTAGTTGATGACTTACGGGTAGTCACCCAACTTTATTGACGTTTATATGATAATGTATGAAAGAACTGCTAAAGAAAGTTTGTATAGATTGTCAAAAAGTGTTGTTGAAAATCTAGGTAACGTTTATTTGTGGAAACCTTCATTACATGATATGCAAGAACAATACGTAGCACATGAAGAAAGATATGGTTTTCTTGGTATGATTGGAAGCATTGATTGCATGCACTGGAAATGGAGAAATTTTCCCCAAGAGTGGAGAAGGCAATTTGCAAGTGGTCATAATGGAGCATCTTTATTGGTATTAGAGGTTGTTGCTTCTCAAGATTTGTGGATTTGGCATGTTTATTTCGAGATTGCGGGTTTCAACAACGACACCACGTTCTTGATAAATCACCAATGTAATGCTCGTGTTTCCTTCTAGAATAGTCATAGTTTGTAATCACCTTAGTCTACTATTATAATCTTTTTATGAACAAATAAGAAATGATTATTCTTATATTTATGTGCTTATATGTTTTATACATCTTATGCAAATTATATAAGTATTTAATAATAAAATAAAAATACACATTGAAATTAAATGGTTATTTTGGAAAAATAGTCTTAACCTAGTTATAGTATACGTCATAAGGATTTCGGAGATATAAGGATTGTTCGAATACCGACTTAGAGCAAAGAAGTTATGATACATTGAAGTTTTGCGTTAAATCCGATTTAGTTGAGGATGTCGCAAAATAGTGAATCGGAGTGTAACACCCCAAAGTTTGGAAAGCCAAGAAAAGAAAGAAAAACCTCAAGTTTAAGGGGAGACTCGGCGAGTCCATGGAGGGACTCGGCGAGTCCGAGCGGGATCCGGGTTGTGGTGTAAGCGACCGACTCGGCGAGTCGGCCAAGGAGACTCGATGAGTTGGGTTTGAGCGAGGAAAAACCCTAAATCCGGGATTTGGAGCCTATTTAAGCGTCTCATTCTCTTTCCTAGGGTTCCTTTACTGCCTCTCTACCCCAGAACACCAAACCCTAGCCGCCATATCCGTTTTTGAGCTGGATCTTGCCTTGTAGAGTGCACTAAAGCTTGGAGAAGGAAGAAAAGCCTTGGAGGTGCAAGAAGGGACTGTAGATCCGAGATTAAGAAGACATTTCAGACCAGTTGGAGGTAATAAGCTGTTGCTTGGACTCCCTTTGCACCTAGATCTATTCTTATATGTGAGTTTTGGTCATTGTTGGTATGATATGTAACCAATCCGAGTTGGAGGTTCAGATCTGAGGTTGCTACCTCAGATCCATGTTTGTTTTGGTCTTGAATCCCCTAAAGTATCAGCCCTTGGTATGTTGAAGAAGTATGTTTGCCATAAACCCTAGTTTAGGGTGTTTTGAGCCTAGATCTCTTAATCTACACGTAAAGTTTGCCACTTTACGTGGGGGATAGTCCCTAGAAGTATGGATCTATGAGTTGGAAACTCTGTTTGGCTCGAAAAGCCACTGCATGGATTGAGGACTGGATAGACTCGGCGAGTCCTTCGAGTGGACTCGGCGAGTAGCTTGAAGATGAGGAGGAACTCGACGAGTAGGATGAACAACTCGTCGAGTCGGATGAAGTTAGGCATGGACTCGGCGAGTTGGATGAGCAACTCGACGAGTTGGTTGAAGATTGTCTAGGACTCGGCGAGTCTGTTCTTGGACTCGGCGAGTCAGATCGCGAAACCCTAAACCCTTCGAGTTGGGGCTCGAATCAGTGAGTCGGGTGGTGACTCAGCGAGTTGGACAGGACAGGACTTGGAACTAGTTAGACTCGGCGAGTCGAGTCGCGAATAAGAAAGACCCAGAGCATATGAACTCGGCGAGTCAGTAGGTAGACTCGGCGAGTAGGGTTGACCCGGAAGGTTGACTTTGACCAGGATTTTGACCTTGACCAGAATTGACCTAGTGACCTTTGGAGGTCAGTTGGACTAAGTGTTATATTGATATTGGTAGCTCGAGGAGCTAGTGGAGCAGCAGTCGAAGTCAGAGGTCAGGTAGCAGTCAAAAGGATTAGCAGCAGCAGTTCAGCAGCATCAGGTGAGTTTCCTTCCAGTAGGGACGGGTCTAAGGCCACAATGCCGGCCCGTTCAGTTAGCAGTAGTTTCCGGACTTCGATCCGATGCAGTAGTTAGTATGTTTGATGCCTTCGTGGCTCAGACAGGATTTATGTGTTATGTGTTATGTGTTATGTGTTATGTGTTCCGGGCTACGGCCCGATGTAGTATGCAGTATATGTGTTCATGCTAGTTGATATGTTATGCTATGCTATGTTCAGTCAGCTTCCGGACTTCGGTCCGATGTAGGGGCAAGGCCCCAGTTAGTCCGGACTTCGGTCCGATGCAGGGGACAAGGTCCCAGTCAGTTTCCGGACTTCGGTCCGATAGGGGGCAAGGCCCCAGTTAGTCCGGACTTCGGTCCGATGCAGGGGACAAGGTCCCAGTCAGTTTCCGGACTTCGGTCCGATGTAGGGGGCAAGGCCCCAGTTAGTCCGGACATCGGTCCGATGCAGTGGGCAAGGCCCAGTATGTGCTTTATATGTTATTGCATGGTATGTGTTAGATTGGGGGAGCTCACTAAGCTTCGTGCTTACGGTTTTCAGTTTTGGTTTCAGGTACTCAGTTTTCAAAAAAGGAGCTCGGGAAGATTGCAGTGCACACACCATAGTCAGATAGCCTGGGAATGTTTGACTCTGATAATGATATTATGTTTTGAATTAATACTCGAGAATTTATGTTATGACTTATGATACAGTTTTTCTAAATATGATTTTAGTAATGTTTTTAAAGAAATTTTTGGGTTGTATTTTTGGGTCGTTTCAAGTTGGTATCAGAGCCTTGGTTTGAGGGATTTGGACATGCTCTCGAGCGTGTCTGGACTCAAACTGAGGGATTGGTATAAAGATTTTCAAAAAATGAAAAGTCGGTTTTGTAAAAAGAGAGTTTTGAGAAAGAAA